TTTTTAAATGAACACTATTTCCTCTCACATAGAAACTAGTTTCTTTTTCCGTTAAATGCCTCTTTTACTTGAGAGATGGATTATCAGTAGTTTACCTCTTTAGGTCATATAAAAGACAGAAGCATTTCAAAGAAATCACTTGTTTTCATAGTTAAGTTAAAGCTCAGCTATGTGACCGGCAAGTGGATATTCTGCAATGGGGCAGCATTGCTTGACTGGCCACTCAAGCGCAGCCCTCCAGCCCAGCACAGATTTGGCCAGCTAACTCTGGAGAAGTGTGTGCTGAACAGCAAGAGTACAGTAAAGCTAAAAAGTGGCCATACATGGAAGCCAACTGCTTGCCTAAGCCAAAACATAACATTCAGAAAAAAAACGGGGCTGAAATGGAGAATAAATAAGGGTAAGGCCAGTTAAGAGTGAACAAAAAGAGACCTAAAGCAGAAGTCAGAAGGAGAAGCTTCAAATTGTTTACACCAGCTAGTGGGACTGGGGCTTTTTATCCTCTTTGCTTTAACTAAACTTGTCCAGTGTTGAAATCCTGGAAATTCTCTCACTTTTTTCTCTCTTGCACTCTACCAAGAGGTCACCAGAAAGAATGGAAAACAATGCATGGAAACAGGCTGAATACTAGCAAGTATTTGCAAGTTTCTTCTGTGCACATTAAGAAGTTAGATGAATTACTTATCACAAACCTACAAGAGGACTGGAAAACAGTAAAAAACAGCTGGTGATAGCCAGCTGTGCTACTGTTGCTGCAAAAAATGCTCCCCTGTCCTTTTATTGGACAGAGTCAAACGAGGCGATGCCAACCTTAAGGCAAAGAGGGTTCTGTATCAAATGATGGGGTTATTCTAATAAGCCATAAAACTGTAAGGCTCAAAATATACTTTTTGCAATTTTCTGTAATAGTAATAATAGAAGAAAAGGAGACTAATTATTAGACAAGAAAGTATTTCAAGCAGCAATTAGCCATCATGCTCTGCATGAAATAGAGCAAAGTATTATATAGGTAGATTAAGATGGTGGGAGATGAAAGAGACAGGTCTGTTACCAACCATCTTATGATGAAACTGAAAAAACCACAGCAAATTAGGAGGACAGAAATTATGTGAAAAGCTTTCCACTGGGTCAGGCCTATTCCTCATGGTATCATGTTAAATCCCACCAGAGCCTGGACTACACTTCTGTCTACAAGAAACAAGGATAGTGAACCTGAATATGGATGAGCGCATAAGATTTTGAAGTATTATATTTTTAAAGTTATGTTAAAAATAAGCAGCACTTTTGACACCACAAATGTCAAGTCAGGGTATTCAGAACAATAGAATCATGCAAGCTGGAAGGGACCAACATGTAGTCCATTTGTGGGATCTAGTCCAACTCCTGCTCAAAGTAGGATCCTCTACAATAACCATATTCATAGTTAGCAAAATATTTTCAATTTAGGAAATTCCATGCAGGTGTTTTCCTGGTTTCCTGTGGTCTACAGAAGCAGAATGTAACTCAAGTAACAGAAAAATTCTTGTCATCCCTATTAATCTTATAGTTTCTCTTTTTCCTTTAATTCTTTTTCACTTTAATTCTACACATACTTAAGTCTTGCAGACATTTTCCCCATTCTTGAAATCAGGTAACTCGCATTGGGCTCAACAAATAAAATCTTAAAGATGAGTAGGCTTGCATAGAAAGAGTGAATCAGAGTCAGTGAAATATTCCATCAAGAGAAAAAAGGATGCCTTGAAGATCAGAGTTACTCAGAAGAAGAAAGTAATTGTACACAGTGGAAAAAAAAAAAAAAGCAATGTGAATAATAATCAAAGTCCCATGTTGAATACCTGCTCCTGAATGTAGTAGGCTTTGATTTTGCAGAGTTTGAGCAAGGCTTACAGGAGAATGTGAGGATACTGTTGCTTTACATTGTCTTTACACCTCCTACTACCCTAAGCTAGAAGTTCAGGTGCCACACTTCTCCCTAGATACACATTGTTCATCCCTTCTCCAAATCAGATACTCATAACTCCCAGTCTTCTTTCTGCTTTTGCCAGTCCTACATGAATCTTTACACGTGTTTGACAAAGACATGGCTTAGAGTGAACTAGAGAGGCAGCACTGATTTTCTTTGTACAGATATAAAGAGAAGCAGTAATAATCCAGAGACTGGGGCTTACTGATTTGGAAGACTGGAGAGGACTCTCAGATGACATCTTAAAGGGTCAGGACGTAAGATTAGTATCTTTAGAGCATTATAAATTCAGAACATGAGAACAGCAGAATGTAAGAACATCAGCTAGTGCCAGGTGGTCTGCTTGGTAAGCACAACTTTTTCTTCCTTTACAGTACAGTACTCCACCTACTCCTCTTGCCCTTTTGACTACCTTCAAGTCCAGTAGCACCAGGATCCTAAAAGCAAAGGCTATCACCGACCCCAGAGCCCAGTGGTGTAATATCTTCCAAGGGGCTACATACAGTCTTTCCACTAGTAGGCATTTTTCTTGAATGTACTTTACCTCCCACCTATTCCAAACTTCCTCCAACCTGTAGCAAATGAAGCCAGAAAAAAAATCTCCTGCATTTATTTCTGTTGACATCTGTTAACATCAAAATATTCTTGAGTGCATTCAGTGCAACATTATCAAGAAAAGTAATAGCATCTCCTATTGATCTTCCAACAAAAATGTCAAGAGCAGAATAGGCTGTACTGAGATGAAGCTGGAAAGGACTTCAGACCCACAGAAGTTTGTTAGATATAAGCCAAGGTAATTCACGCAATATGCCAGAAACAAGCATTTGGCCTCTGCAGAGGCCTCATTTCAGAATCCTTCAAGAGAGCAAGGCCAAAGCTCACAGTGAAATGAATATATTTCACCCTACAAACTACACTGTTATCTAATACTAACGTAACTGATCTCCTCTATCAAATAAAGTACCTGGAAAACAATTCAAATAGTGTGTGACGGCAGCATTACCTTGATGTAAGCGACAAGAACACTATTCTTCATTTACTCAGGAGAATATTTATTGCAAGAAGGTGAAGTACAAAGTCTATCCAGTACCACCTGATAAGCCCTTTCTAGAGGAAGGTCTGAAGCAACACCTGTAACAGGCATTGACATGTTTAACAAAGCACAAAGATAAAGATAGTAATTTCATTTTAAATGGAGAACAGACATTCCTTGTCTGGTAAACGAACTGTCAACAGTCCTGCATTGATAATGGGCACAAACAAGCAAACTGTCTTATTCTTCAGGGGAGCAACTCCATCTAGTCCCTCTTAGACTCACAGAACCTAACTTGTGGCCTACTTTATTGTAAGTTCAAGACATTGCCCCCCTTTTAGCCTGAGGCTACAAAGTACAGAGACGTGGTAGAGAATAGGGATTTTCCTTTGATGTAACTTGTGTCTGTTGCCTTTTGCCCTCTTATTGTACCCTTCTGAGAAGGGTTTGGATACAGCACCTCTATAACTCTCCCAGTAATACACTGAGGACAGCTACTAACTGAAGAAACACAATGAGACACTGAGGGGGCTGAATGTCAAAAACCAGCACACTAGGTATGAAAACAAATATGGTACTGATAACATCTCTTCCTTTTTAGCCTTTTTCAGGGGGGTTAAGAGCAATTAGTAAATACCTCTGCCTTACAAAGGTCGGTGTTTACCTGATAGCGTGGAGAGAAACGTTTCCTGCAGTACAACCTATGCAGACACATTGATGTCACTGCTAATATTCAGAGGATCAGTAGCCTCCTGTGGTTAAAACCACACTGATGCAGACCATCTGTCCTTGCATGCACATCTGTCTGCAGTCAACTTTCAATCTGATTCCTTTGTATCACAGTCCGCTACAAACTGTAGATATGTGAGCAAGTTCTCAGTTACCATGATCATACGCAGCCCTGTACAAATCGCTCATGAGCTATTTCTAGGTCATGCAAAGTTGTATGCATTATTCAATAAAACAAAATCTTTGAAACTTCCCAGAAAAAAAACCCAACAAACAAGCAGAAATTGGGATGCCCAGGGACCAGATTAAGTACTTAAACCTCTAAATCATCAACCCAGACAGACAAATAGAGGGTAACAATTAATTCCTCATCTTGCTTTGTATCCATGGTTTCTTCTTTGCAGTGGAACTCAAGTATGTACAAAGAACAAACACCTCCCTCAAACACATTGTAATGTTCACATTGTCTTTACAAAAAAACAGCTCTTTAGCTTTAATCAATCTTTATACATGCCAAATCACTTAAAATTATGGTGGCACTCCTGAAATATGGCAATGTGCTTCCAAATAATCTGACTTGGAAAAATTAAACCAAGTTAAATAAGTTCTTGCTGCTTCAAAACCCTTTCCTATGAAAATCACTTTTAAATATTTTCACAGCACATGTGTCTAGACAAATCAGATACCTCTATCTAACATAGTATTCTAGTTTGAAGAGCAACTGGTGCCTTGTAAATAGCTTGTTGCATATGGAAGCTTAATACTGGCATATCTTAAAGTACTTTTTACTAATATTCCATTGAGCCCATCTGATCAATTGTAAAGTATGAAATTTCAGAACATGGGCATGTAGCAGGTGAATTCTGTCAAGACAAAACTGCAGTATTTGCAGCCCATTTGATAAAACTAAGAAGTACTTCTAATTTGAAAGTACCAATCAGAAAGGGACAAGAATTCAAAGTTCTAGAGGGGATTTTTTTTTTTTTCTGTAACACAGACACACAAAACAAACCCAAAGTAATTCAGTCTCATCCGGTTTAACCTCAACCACGAGACACCGCTGTCTGTTTTCTTTCTCAAATGACTCACGTCACTGCGCACTGAAAAAGGGGAACTTCCACAGTTTGTGGTGTGGATACACGATAAACAGATCTGTTCACACCAACTAGCAGGGCTGCCTGCGTCAATAAAAGGCCGTAGCAGAGTCAGTGAACTGACATTTGGTGCTTGGAGGATTATCGTTGCAGAAGTCGCTTCACGTTAAAGTTAAGTAAAATGCCAGGATTTTTTTTCTCCAACAACATGACTGAATTAAACGGAAAAGAAGACTACAAGCTTGCAGAAGGCAGAATCTATAAAAAGAAGCAAAAGCCTTTGTAAGTATATACATCTTAGTATAAACTCTAATGTATTAGAAGTGAAAATAATACTAGAATCTTGGAGATTAAGAACTACTACTGTGTTTCAGGCTAAATGACTGCAAAGCCTGCTCAAAGCCCAGGACTACGGCATCATTAAAAATGGCTTGAGCTGATGCATACCAATGAATTTATTCCCTTAAGTAATCAGGAGTAGATCTGGATACACTGGGAGTCTCTTAGTCTTTTTAAAAAAATTACTTGGACATGTAACTTCCCAGACTTTAGTCATAGGATGGAGCCATCCACCGCTGTTTAAAATTTTAAGGGATTTAAGTAGAATTGAAATGCAACCACAATTTTAATGGATTACAAAAATGTTTGTTCATTGGTTTCAGTGGTGCAGATCTCAAAAATTATTTGAAGTGCATGGTACCACATATCGAATCAGGGATCAAGACTTCCAACTCCAGAAACGTCAGGTAAGTACTGTGATACACTAAGTTATAACAAAATATAACTATAGCTAGATTATTATATAGTAAACTATTATATTAATTTCTAAACTACTTCTAGAACAAAATTATAATAATGCCTAGAATTTCCAAAATACAAAAGACTTGAATGATAGGAAGTAGAAGCTATTCATGGAGTTAAGGATTTTTTCTTAGTGATGTGTTATGTTTGCATCAAACAGTGAGGGAGAAGACACCTCGGTTAAATTTATTTTCTTCAGAGAGACATTGTATCCCTTCTCTAAAGATTTACAAGAAATGATGCTACACACTTAAGAGCAGGGGTATTACCATTCTTATTTCAGGAATATAGAAACATAAATATAGATACAAAATCATTTGGTCATAGTTACAGTAAAAGCTTATCTTTTGGGGAACAGAATTTGGGATAACATCTCTCTGCTTATTTTTCGCAATGTGGGCTTGCCTCCAGGGTCTCAGATTATGAGAAAGCCATATGTTTAATAAATATCTGGTACATATTCCTAGAATAGAATTGTAAATTATAAAATTTGTCTCCTTTAAACATTCAAACAAACCCATATGGTTTCTTGCCTAAAGTCCTTTCTTTTTCTTGTCATCTTAGGCTTTCTGCAGAGGAAGTAATACAGTGGTCCCAGTCTTTGGAAAAGCTCTTGGCCAGCCAAAGTAAGTCTATTACTTCAGCATGACTTCATTCTTATTCTGAAGACAAAATTTTATCTAATCTTGCCAAATAGGCAAAGCTGTAGCATTCTGCAAACACTGCCAGAGACTGGCCAGTTGCATTTCAGTTATTCACAGCTCCAGTGTAACATGGCTACTGTTACAGCTTTGCTTCCAACTTTGGTTTTTTTCCCTTCCATTTCCTACTCCCAGTATAGCAAATAAACTCCAAATAACTCAATTCAGTGCTTTTTGATCAGTCTTCTGTCCTTACATAACACATCAGTTTGATTTGGAATTTTCTCTCCACTTGTACCCTAAGACAATCCAGTTAGGAAGGACTAGAATACATCGATGTATTTTGGTTCCCAGCGTCTAGATCTAAAAACACTGAACATAATTAGGAAGACTCCTATCACCCTTAATATTAGAGTATCTGTAGCATGTTGAAGAAAGGAAGAACAGTGTATTTTGGCAAGATTTTATAACAGATACTTGAATACAACTCCTGCTATTTATTTTATCCTCCTTGGTCACAAATATCATGCTATAAATGATGATGTATTTGTGTTGGCTTTAGGTGGTCAAGGTGTCTTTCGGGAGTTCCTGAAGTCAGAGTTCAGTGAGGAAAACATTGAGTTCTGGTTGGCTTGTGAGGATTACAAGAAAACCAAGTCTGATCACCTACATGGCAAAGCAGAGAGGATTTATGAGGAGTTTGTTCAGTCAGATGCTATTAAACAGGTATGTACAAAGTTAATCTGCATAGTGTTACAGTACAAGGATTCTGAAAAATCAGAAGATTAAAGTGTAGCTTCATTGAGATGCTCATACATTCATTCAGTTACATAGGACGAAGACACAGACATGTTTTTATGAGCGTACTTGCATAAGCAGGGTCACACGATACAGGCCAGTACTTGGGAGCACCACTAGCAGAAGCTCAGCAGAGGCACCAGCAGCTCAGCACATGATGCTGTTTGAGTCAGGCCAGGTTGAATTGCTTCTGGTGTTTGGAGTTATATACTTAGAGAGAGCTTTGCTAGTAGGAGAGCCATGGAATATTTCTTGTCTTTTAAAATATGTGGACATTTTGGAGAATTAAAAGTTACGTATGTTGATCATATTTCAAACTGGAGAATCTCATTCTACACAAGATTTGTCCTGTTGTTTTAATAGGAGGTTTAATTGGAGGTTCTTTCTCTACTTACTCCATTGTTGAGTTGTATTACTTTTGACTCCATAAGAAGCTGCATTTCTATAGCGAGTAGCAATCTTTGTGCATAACGGAGACATAAGCATTAAAATTCCCTCATTTTGCTGTTCTGATATTGAACTATCACACTGAGTTCTAAGGTTGTGGATTTGTTTATTGACAAAAAAGTGATAGATATAGAAAGAGAGTACATTTTTAAGATGTCAATGGCATTTGTTTTTCACTTTCCAGATCAATATTGACTATCAGATGAGGGAAGCAACAGCCAAAAGGGCTCAAGACCCAACTCACACAAGTTTTGATGAAGCCCAGAAAACTGTGTACATCCTTATGGAAAGGGATTCATATCCCAGATTTTTGAAATCCAAAGCCTACCTGAACCTTTTGACCCAGCTGCAGACCAACACTTCAAAATGAAGTGTTTGAGGCAGTGAAGAGCCAAGTAGAGTTTGTGTCAAATATACCATGGAGAGATCCTTCCAGGGTGGTTGGATCTCGGCAAGGAGAACCCTGCCTTGGGAGCAGAGGTATGAGGGAGATGCAAACAGCTCCACGGCCAAGAGAACGCATGATGAAAGCTGGCAAGACTGTTACAAGGGTGAGAGCAGCACAGAGGGGAGAAAATCTTCTCCTCCCATATGCCATGGAGTCAAGACAGGATATGGGTACTATTTATTGTTTGAACTGTGCTGTGAACACTGAACCAAGTCTTACATCCCAAAGAACTGCTAATTATTAGAAAGTGCAAGACTAGCAAGCTGAGTGTTGGGAAAAGATTATCAAGTTCAGAAGAAAAATAAGGATGACTGACAATTTTATGCATAACAAGAAAATGCCCAGACAAGACTGATTAATGGCTGGTTTTTAATCTGTGAAGTGTTAATAAGTGTGAGTGCAGCTCCATGATGCTATTGTGCTATGTAAATATTTTATAAGTTGACATGTCTTAAAATTGATATATTTTAAATTATATAAGAATTATATAAGCTGTACTTTTACTAAGTTAGTATTCAACAGGCAGGTATGTAGCATCTTTTCTGTTTAATTTATTACAAAATAATAAGCAACTCATCAATTGAATCTACTTAAAAATAAAGTTTTGTGGTCATTTTACTTATTATTTTAAGCGGTCTTTCCATCATAATTACTGAACTATTGAAACACGTGGTTCCCTTCTGTCCCACTATGCCACTACTTCCCATCTCCTTATCCAAATATTAGTTTTCCCCACACCACCTTTTCTCTTTTCTTACCCATTTTACACAACCATAATCTTAGTTATCTGGAGTAGATGAGCCTGACCTACATAGACCCATCCTTATGTATCCCAGAGAAAACAAAACAAAACAAAACAAAACAGAGAGAGAAGCAGGTCTTAATTTCCTTCCTCTTTTTCATACCTCCCCAGCTACCAGCACCCAAGTCAAATCTCAAATATAGAAAACACTTAATCACTGACCCCACAGTTCAGTCTGTTTCAATACTGCTGTGCTCAACACATCATCAGATCACCCACACTTGCTTATGTAGAGAGGCAGTAACTGGTAAGACTCACTAGCAGTCACATTCCTTGTGATATTAGTACTACTGAACCTAATCTTGGCAAGATCCAGGCTCGATCTGTTACGATCTGCTCTGGATGTTACAATACCAACATTAGCATCAAAAGTAATTTAATTTCACTGCAAATGTTGTATTAAAATTACTCTAAAATATGCAGTGTTACAAGTAGCCTATGCCACAGTGGGTAGTGATGAGAACTAAAGTAAAAGAAGAAAAGTTGCAATTAAGCTTGAACTATGTATCTACGAACACGGGCACTACCAAATCTGAAGTGTTCAAGACCTTGTGACATTAGAGTTCATAACAAAAATAAATCAAAGCGTGCCCTGGTCTTAATGAGTTACCATCATAAGACACAGCTATCACACGGGTGGGAATACAAGATTTTCTCTCACCCTTGCAGATTTTCCATTTTCCAAAATAACATGAGCTTAGTCAGGCACACTCTGTTATTCCATACCAAATGGAGAAGCTGTAAACCCACAGACATCACCTCCTGGGGAGAGCACACCATGTTCATACTGCCACCCTTTGGGCATCTCCAAAGGAGGACAAAATCTTCAGCGTTACAAGCAAAACTCTGCTGGAAGGAACACAGCTAAGTGGCAGTTGCTGCCAACTTCCACCATCACCTACTGTTGTGGCTGGAAGCCACTGCAAATCACATCTTCCTACTTTCAAGGCCAGTAAATGCAGAAAAAAAGAATCTGGTCTTGCAGTATTATTTTTCTTTTGTTAAATATATATACCTGAGGGAGTCTCTGACTGTAAAACCAGAATGCCTCTGAAATAATGTAAACCAGTCTCCAGTTGTCTCTCTCTTACATGAATTAATCTTCCAGGATGAGTAGGAATAAATCTAATTCCTGTGAAGTAGGAATAACAACTGTGCCTCCCACACAAGGGGCATCCTCGTGTTTGTTCTGACACAGTTAACATGGACCAAATGTCACTGTTTGCATAGCTTTAACCTCACAGAAGACAAAAGAGAACTATGAAATATCAGCTACCCTCTAAACAGACACTGTCTTCAAGTAACATTATTCTTTAGACAGTAAATCCCTTAAATTAGCATGGGCCCAGTCTTCATTTACTCCCCCTGCAGTTTCACAATTTTGCCATGATTTAGCCAAACACCTGCATGTATGTATGAAATTTTTGACTAAAATCATATTTCATAGTAAGGCTAGTTAGGATTTTTTTTTTTTTTAATGGCTTGTTGCTGCCAGAGAAGACTGTTCGTCAGAAACATTTCATCTACTGCTGGGGAGACTGCTGGGTCGGGTAATGGGTGGATACATGTTTCCAACTCAACATAGGTCTCAGAGGCAGGTATAATGAAAAGAAGGTAGGCTCTGGAGTCGTGCCATGGTTTTGGGTGCTGCAGCAGCCACTGCTCACTTCAAGAGATGGCCAACGTTGCCGCCTGTGCCCACTGCCCTATGGCTTTGCATCAGGCAGCACAAATCTTTTCACTAACGACTGAGTGCAACTACCACGGCTGCTCAGGTATTCACAGATGCTGCCTGGCACCCTGACCTCCTGCAAAGAGTCACTGGGTCTGCCCCAACAGGAAAGGGTGAGAAAGTGACAGTGTAAAATGCTGATTAGAGCCCTCTAAAAATAAGCTGAACCTATCCACAGAAGAGACTCATAGGTCTCGGGGAACACACCAACCACTTGTATTACCCAGAGTTAGTATAGACCAGAATATTTCAGGAGGGAAGAAGGGACTCTTCACTCTTTTTCCACAAGCATCTCTCCCTGGTTCATGATTTGGTACAGTGTAAGAACAGAAAGTTTGTTGGTTTGTTGTGGGTTTTTTCCCCCCAAAAGAAACTATTCCGCTCTTTACAGCCCAACCTTGGTACATTTCTAAGTCTTTTGCCTTATTTACAGTAGGAACCCGAAAACAACTACAAAGGTCAATCACCCAGGTTGTTAATTCCAGAGATATTCCAGCCCACTCCAGTGTCCCTGGCAACACGACCGTGTTTCACCAAGCAATAAACAGCGTAGCAGAAATTCAGAGCTGTCTCTAGGATGCTGTCGTAAGCCTAGTATTATATATCTGTTGCTATAGCAGGGCTATACAAAGCTGGTTGTCTAAACAAGGTCCAAGAGATCTGGAAGTATTTTATGGTAATTTATAGTGCCATCCATACTAATCTACTTTATAAAAGGAAGAAGCTATAAGTAATAGTTCAATGCTACAACTGAAACAATTTTTACAGTATTTTAAGACACTTCACAATACTTATATGCTTCAAAATAGTCCAGAGATAGGTATTTTTTATGATTTCTTCAAAACATCTTTTTCAAAATGCTGTACGCAATGCTTATATTGCAGTGAATTCTTTTTTTGAAATATCACCTAAATGGAGGTTCTTTGGACTCAGAAAAACAGTGGAACATACAGATCAAAGAGATTAAGGACTCAATATTTTCTGTGACCCTTGGTTCATTTACAAGGTGCAAGCATCATATCAAGTTCATTTGCGATTTCCTTCTCATCTCCTTCCCCCACCCATGCACACAGCCTCAGTACTGCAGGGTGGTTTCACAGCTGTGGGTTGTGCCCTGCCCAGCATGGCAGACTCTTCCAAAACGGGACATGTTACACATCAAATATGGAAAGCATGCCTCCCTGGAAACTTCCCATACTCAAAGAAGAAACTTCTGAACACAAGCTCTATTTGCTATCTTGTAAATAAGTTAATAGGCAACTGGGGGAAACAGTCCTTTTTTAACATATGCTAGACTGAGTTAACTACCAGTTAGCTGATAAAACTTTCCAGAATAATCAGGCACTCACTGGGATCCAACACTTATTAAAATATTAAATGTTTATGTCAAACAGCTTATTTGATTTTTTGACTAGATTTAGCTTTCCCTTTTTGGAAAAAAAATACTGTAAGAGAATGGAAATTTGTTGTTCCATTCATGGTCTTTAAGAAAAATGGTTCAATCAGATTGGCCATCAGCTATGGATCAGTACAGGAAAACAGGATGCAGTACATGGAGAAGCTTTAAGATTTGACGGTAGTGACTCAGACCTTTCTTTAAGTGTTCTACCTTATCCCTGAAGGAAACATTTTCATTGTTTGTCAGTGTTTCGGTATAAAAATCAATCATTGTACCATCTTCGGGTATACTTTTGAAGTTAATTAACTTCTCCCTGCTGCAGAGAGTTTTCTTTATAGGAGGTCTCAAGAGTCCAACAGACCCTGAATGTGAATTTGGAAGACTAACCTCTCAAATTTGGAAAACCTTCTCTAAATGTATTCCATGAAATAGGCATTTTTAATATTATCTCAAACATAACTAAAAATATGGTACAACACAGTATCATTCTCTCCAATATATTGAAAAGGCCATCCATGGAAGCCTGTTAGTAGAGACATCCTATTGTGATGCACAGTGAAGCAGGAAGGAAATTAAAGCCAAGACGGTGATGAATAGTACAAATTCATCACCTTAGACTCTTTAAGTGCCACTCATCCCTGCCCACACTATGAAGTAACAGGCTTTCCGGATGTCAGCTCCTTTATTGTTGTGAAATGAGTTTGAAAAGCAAAAATAGATGACAATAGGTGGAAAAATTAGATGTTCTCATCTTTCATTCAGAGGCATGGGTTGATTGTATCACAGACTGTAATGTCTACAAGTGAAGCTTTTTAAAATTATATTTTTAGTCATTAAACACAGGCAGAAATTGCAAAACAAGTTCTTGCTTAATATTCATTAGATGATTTTAATTTGTCTTGGATGCTCAGAAACAAAGTCAGAGAGGAGTTAAGGTTATCCCCTGGCTTTGTTTGGATAAATACAGCCTCAAATGTTTTAGTCACAAAAAGGAGATTTACACCAATCAAGAACTGATGTGCTTATTTTGGAAATAAACTCATTCCCCCTCATTTCTCAAAACAGCCCCAGAAAGTACTCTCTTGAAAGACCCCAAAGATGACCAACATTTAAATTCTGCTGAGCACTTCCCTTCAATTTCTTCAAACAGCCTAAGCACCAAACAGCCTTAAAGCACTTATCTAAATTAGTTCAATGACCAGCTTTCACAGGGTCCCTTTCACTAATAAAACTAAAAACACCTTGAGTAAAAAATGAAATGCAGAAATGTAAATCTTTCAGGATCACTTTAGACTTGTGTGCAGAGAGAAACAGAGCAGA